AATTCCTCGCACCCAGACGGTGGCTCACAGCCATCCGTAACTGCAGTCCCAGGGAATCTGACAAGCACACAGGCAGGTATTCAAACTACTGTGTTAATCCGTGCTCTTAACCATTTGAGTCATCACTCTGCAGAGCTGGGATGACATCTCTGGGTCACCATACCCAGCGACAACAACGGCTTAAAAAGGTGACCAGGAGCATCATCACTGTACTTGAAGGATAGACAGTTTTTTTTTTTTTTTTTTTTTAGGCTCCTGCAATACCAAATCTATGGGTGGAGAAATAAATGCAACTAAAATTTGGGGATTTAAAGTCTTCATGAAAAACAGCTTCAGGCTTTTAAGCAGTTGTGAGGGGTATTCCTGTCATGAATATATTGTGAATTTCTCCTAAGTGTGGTAGAAGCCAGTACTGACTGAGTTCCACTGACCAGCCTCTCCCAGATGCTAGTGAGTGAAGTTTTCTAAACACTTCGGATCCTCTTTAGCCTCTGGACCAGCAGTAACATCATCTGAAATTTATTAGAAGTACAAATAAGTAAGTCTTACTTAGCCTAGATGTTTTGAATCACAGTCTACATTTTTTGTTTTGTTTTTTGAGACAGGGTTTCTCTGTCGAACAGTCCTGGCTGTCCTAGAACTGACTTTGGAGACCAGGTTGGCCTGAAACTCACAAAGATCTGCCTGCCTCTGCCTTCAAATTTCTGGGATTAAAGGCATAAGCCAACATCGCCTGGCTCACAGACTACATTTTAAATAGGGTTCCCATATGATGATGGTATTCAAAATAACACTTGGAAAGCAAGCATTTGCTTAGCATGCACAAAAGCCCTGGGTTTGAGCTAGATATCACAAGAGGAATGATAGTAAGGTTGAAGTAACGACAGGTGCCTGTACTCCCAGTATTTGGGAAGTGGAGGTACATTGTAGAATACTGCTTTAATTACATAGAGATATGTTATGTTTGTTTATGTTGTGGAATATTACTTTAACTATGTAAAGTTATGTCTCATTTGCTTATGTTACATTTGTTTAGTTATGAAAAGGTGTTTTGCTGTTTCACCTTGCCTGCCTAAGACACCTGATTGGTTTAATAAAAAGCTGAACATCCAATAGCTAGGCAGTAGGGGGATGTGCAGGGCTTGTGGGCAGAGAGAATATCTAGGAGGAGAAACCTAGGCTCAAGGAAAGAGAACAAAAGGAGAGAACAAGGGAGAAAGAAAGGGAGACACCTGGGATTAGAAGCCAGGCAGCCACCTGTAAGTCAGACTCAGAGTAGGTCACATAGAATGAGAGAATGGTAAAAAGCCCTAAGGCAAAATTTAGATTAAGAGAAACAGTTTAAATTAAGTTATTAGAGCAGGCAAGAAACAAGTATAAGATATAAGATAAAGCCGGGCATTCTTAACTAATAGTAAGTCTTCATGTTGTGATTTGGGAGCTGGTTGGTGGCCTGAAAGAAAGCCTGCTACAGAGGTGGGGGGAGGGGGAGGTCAGGAGTGGAAGTTCATTCTTAACTACACAGCACAGGCCAGCACAGGTTACAAAAGACTTTGTCTTAAAACAAAACCCCAGAAAAGGAAGAAATAGAGGAAAAAAAAGAAAAGAAAGGAAAGGAAAAAATTGTTTTGCTGCATTAAGAAAGTTTACAGAGCTGGGTGATGGTGGCACACGCCTTTAATCCCAGCACATAGAAGGCAGAGGCAGGAGGATTTCTATGAGTTTGAGGCCAACCTCATAGAAGTGCCAGGACAGCCAGGACTACCCTAGCTCGAACAAAAACCAACCCAACAGAACAACAGAAAGAAAGAAAGAGAGAGAAAGAGAAAAGAAAACAGTTTACAGAGGAGGTACATGCTCAATTATAATTCAACATTCTGGAGGCTGAGGCAAAAAGATTATAACTCCTAGGCTTGTATAGGTTCCATAAATAGACACCCTTCAACCACAACAAAAACAAGCAGGGCAGCAACACAAATGGAAAGGGCATGTAAAGATGCCTGCTGCACCATCTTGATGGTCTAAGTGATCCCAGAGCCCATGTGAAGGTGGAGAGAACCAACTCCACAGGCCGTCCTTCGACCTGTACGTGTGCATCCTGGCATGTACACCGTCTACCCTTGCCATCATGCAAAATACACCCCACCACCACCACCACAAAGTTTAAAAAGCAAGCACTGAAGCACACACACACACTAAATAAATAAATAAATAAATAAACAAATAAATAAATAAATGCATGCCCCAAACACCTTCGGACTTTAACACAGAAGTCCTGTCTATGGCTTTTCCTATGACAATTGCCTTAATGGGATCCTGGATGCCTTGGAGACCATATTTGAAAGTATGATGTCACTCATCAAAAGACGTGTACACATGACCTCTGTATGTCTGTAATACAGTTTACAGAAAACTGTATTTTCTGTAAATGTTAGAGGGATTCATAGTCTGACTACCATCAAGAGACTTGTTTTCGGCACTTTGGAATTTAGACATATTGCTTACGGATGGATTTTGTGACTAGGCTGTGAACACAAATTGTTGGAGATGTTTGGGTTTAATGTTCCTTCCTGGGGAAAAAAAATTTAATTGTGCTGTATTAGAATTTGAAAATAAAGACTTCTGCTTAGTCCTCACGTTTTCTGAGTGTTATTTTAATGTGATCAAGAAATATACAATTAAGAGCGTGTTTGCTTTCTACAACCACTGGGGTAAAGTAAATAACAAAAGCTGTTAAGGAGAAAAGGTCTCACTTAAATTCAAATGCAGGCAGGATCTGGTGAAAAGCTTTAACAACTTAAAATCAAACCCCGGGTCTCTGTAGTCTTTAACTTGTGGTGAGAGGCCTGCTTTCCCTTCCTTGACGTTTCTTTCTTTTATTTCACCATGCTGGGATCAAACTCAAGGTCTAGGCAATCGCTGCACACAGTCCGCTCCCAGCCCTGCCTCCTGCTGCTAATAATCAGAGGAGCATGGGACCGGTGTTACGCCTATTTCCTCCCTGCCTTCAGAATTGTGCATCCATGACCCTGGTACCGATCCACTGTCTTTTTAGCCGACACATAGGCTTTATTGCCATATGTGATGGAAAAACCCATCCAATTTTTTTTTCATCATTTGCATCAGTGATATCTATTTCTAAGGATTATTCAAGGATTACCCATAAATATTCAAAGCCCTGTTCCTGTGGATCTTAATCTCTGCTATATTTGGCTTAGGTTATTGTTTTCTAAAAAATTTCCATCTCTTTTCTCCCTTTCAGTTGACGATTCACCCTCGTTAACATTTGGTCACTATATTTGCAATTCCTTGTGGCTCAGATAGAGCTGTATGCAAGGACAAGGCCGGGCAAGCTGTGGGACTTTATATAAAAACAGAGAGTTACTCAAAATAGAGATACCTTGCCCTGCATTGAGTTTCAGAAAGTAAAATTTAAATAAACTTGAAAAAGGGTATCTCTATACTTCGTTTATGAAAATTCTTAGAAAGTGTTTTCTTTTTATTATAATTAAATTTTTATTTTGGATGATCCCTTTTTCTTTTTGTTTTTTCGAGACAAGATTTCTCTGGCTGTCTTGGAACTCACTTTGTAGATCAGGCTGGTTTTGAACTCCCACCAATCCTCCTGCCTCTGCCTCCCATTCCTTTTTATTTTTTTAAGTGCATTGGTGTTTTGCTTGCATGTTTGTCTGTGTGTGGGTGTCAGATCTCCTGGAACTGGAGTTACAATGGTGAGCTGCCATGTGAATGCTAAGAACTGAACCAGGGTCCTCCAAAGAGCAGTCAGTGCTCGTAACCTCTGAGCCACAACTCCAGCCCCAGAAAGTGTTTCCTTTAATGGTCTCTGGTGACCACCTCTATGAAGCTAGTCAGGCAGATCTTCCCAGCTCCCCCTACAAAAGTTTTTGGTTTTTTTTTTTTTCATCTTCTCCCCCCCCCCCCCCCCCGCCCCAGTTTGCTCCTCAGTTCTGCCTTTCTACTTTTGTTTGGAAACAATCAAGCCACGGGACCAAATCTGGCAACTGTCTTTCCATTCTGTCCCTACCATTTCCGTCTGTCATTTCCCCATCTTTGCTCAGCTAGAGCTGGAGCCAACTCAGACACAGAGGGGAAGCCGGCCGCTGTTTTAGGTTTCTTTTTAAAGATTTGTTTATTCACGTATTTTATGTATCTGAGTGCTCTGTCTTCATGCCCACCAGGAGGAGGAGTCTGGTTCCATCACAGATGGTTGTGAGCCATCCTATAACCTGGGAACTGAACGCAGGACCTCTGGAAAAACCGTCAAATGCTCTTAACCGCTGAGCCATCTCCCCAGCCCCATTTGTTTAATTTTTAAATACAATTTTTATTTCATTTATTGGCAGTGTGTGTTCTTGCAGGCACACACATGCCCTAGTATGCATGTGGAGGTCATAGGACAACTTTCCGGAGTTGGTTCTCTTCTTTCACCCTGGGTTCTGTGTTACTGAACCCCAGTTGTCAGGCTTGTGCCACGGACATGTTTACCAGGTGAGCCATCTCACCACCAGTTCTTGCTTTATTTCATTACTTGTTTTTTTTTTTAAGATGTATTTATTTATTATGCATGCAGCGTTCTGTCTGCATGTATGCCTGCGGGCCAGAAGAAGGGCACCAGATCTCATTATGGATGGGTGTGAGCCACCATGTGGTTGCTGGGAACTGAACTCAGGACCTCTGGAAGAACAGTCAGTGCTCTTAACCTCTGAGCTATCTCTCCAGCTCCTATCTCATTATTTATTTGGCTTTTTGAGATAGAGTTTCTCTGGGTAGCATTAGCTTTCCTAGAATTTGCTCTGTAGACCAGACTGACCTGAAGCTCATAGAGATCGATCCTCTTGCCTCTGCTTCCTGAGTGCTAGGATTAAAGGCATGCACCACCACCTCCAGACTTCATTTACGTATTAAGTAAACTGTCAAGTGGGTCCAGCGACCCAAACCTGGGTCCTTTGTCCTCTGGAAGAGCAGTCGGGGGCTCTTACCTGCTGAGCCATCTCCGTTCTCCAGCCTTCACGCCTGTAAAAACAAGTTTTAAATTAGTTAATATGGAGCTGGACTTTGGACTTACGGCTGAAAAGTGGCCTCCAAGGAACAGCCAACACCCCAGGTACTCTTGTTTTCTGCCACTCACACACACACACACACACACACACACACACACACACACACACACACCAAAAGAGAAAGAAGAAAAGGCAGAAACATGGGCTGGGCTTCTGAAATGCTCCTTAAGAGCTACTGCCAAGGTTGAAAGGAGAGAAAAGAGAATCACAGGCTGCTCATTTGTGTTCCCAGCTGTCAGTGAGGGATACAGAGAGGACCCCAAGTAACCTTGGCAAGTGAACAGACCCCGGACAAAACTGACACAAGGTGATCAGGCCTTGGGAAGAAACGCTGCCCTCAGAGATGCAATCTTCCTAACTCGGTCATCACATCTAATCAGACTCACTGCAGACACATGTTTTCCCACGCTCGTGATCACTATTTAGGGAACAATCGTTCACAGAATCTGTTCTTGGAGCTCCCTTTAAATGGAAAGATGGACGCTATCTGTTTAATGAGGAATGAAAACGAGCTGTCTGCTGAAGTCGCTACATAAAAGCGGCACCTCTATCAGTGAAAGCGCAGGAGGAAGAAACTCCCATGAATTCTGCTATCAGTGGGCCGTGGTTGGCAGGAGCAGCACAAAGTGGCAGCCCAGATAAGGGGAAGGTGGTGTGGAAGGTATGATGTAGGGTTTCTCATTATTTGCTTATAAAAATTAAACAGCCACTTGTGGGCCTTGTGGCTAGATCACGTGCAAAGGGAACAAGAGAAGCATTGTACCTCTGCCGGTCAGTTGCGGAGGAACACATATGCCTTTTGGGTTGTTCCGTCACCTATTTGTTTTGGTGTTGCCGTGAAGGTGTTTGGATATGTGCCTGAAGTCACGCGCAGCCGACTCCAAAGGAAAGGGGAGTGTTCTCAGTCATCAGGCATCTAACGAGCTGAAAGGCGTTCAGAGGGCCTGGGAGTGTAGTACAGTAACAGAACACTGGCTTACCAGGCATAGTGCCCATCGTCCATCACAGCTCCAGCCAGCTAACCAACCACCAGAAACGGACAAACCCTTAACAGCAGAACTAAGTCATTTGGGGGAAGGGGAGGAGAATACTACCTGAGGAAGAGGCCTGCAGTCTCTGCCAGAGGGCATCACCTGCCGCACCTCCATTCTATGGCCTGGTACTTCAGATTTATTGCCCCACCCTCATCCCAAAAGTCCCTCCAGATGTCTCCATCTGGTTCTGTTCCTCCAGTGGAGCACTGATTCATGCGATATGCTTTTCCAAGCCAGGCAGTGATGGTGCATGCCTTTAATCCCAGCACTCGGGAGGCAGATGCAGGCGGATCTCTGTGAGTTTGAGGCCAGCCTGGTCTATAAGAGCTAGTTCCAGGACAGGTTCCAAAGCTACAGGGGAACCCTGTCTCGAAAAAAAAAGAAAAAAGGAAAGAATAAGATAAAAAAAAAAAGCAATATGCTTTTTCATTTCGCCCTTTTCATCTCTTGAAAGTCATTCCAAGCCCATGGAGAAGGCAATAGATCATTATCTTTAACCACTGAACACAACTGTTGTAGCATTTTTATCATTTGATCGCCTCTAATTTCATCCCTTCCATGGTGGAAAATGATTCATTAAATGCTCTGTATTGGTACTTTCCTTTTTCCAGCTGAATTGAATGATTATGTAGCTATGGGGCAGAGGAAGAGCTTCCCCAGCCTTTTCCAATGATTTTCTGAAATGAGACAACAATGGAAGATTAATGGGAGAAAAAGATAAACACATCTATCAACACGCACAAGAAACAAGCACAGAAGGGCCATTACCCAATAACCAATGAGCTCTAGATAATTATATTGCCTTCTTTGTGGGAGCAGGGAGATTGGGAAAGATGACTATTTGAGGAGTGGTAAATAATATTATATGAATAAATGAACCCCATACCCAGAAAATAGTTAGTGAAGGATTGAATTTGGAAATTGAATGGGCTTAGGATAGAGCCAATGGTTTGTGAAAAAAATCTATCCAGATGTGAGTCCATTCTTCTGTCTCTCTTCCTGAAGACAAGGGGTTAGTTAATGAAAATTCGGTGAAGGAAGCAAAGGTGATTGTATTCTTTGGAGAGTCTCCTTTTAGGCAGATACAGGGATGTCAAAGTAAAGTCTCTTCCAAGATTGAGGACCTCTAGTTTAAACTAATTAGCTTCTTGAGTGCCATATTTCCATATTTTAGGGTGACCAACATAGATGTCTCCTATAACATCTATATTCTCTCTCTCTTTTTTTTTTGTTTTTGTTTGTTTGTTTGAGACAGGGTTTCTCTGTGTAACAGCCCTGGCTGTCCTAGAACTAGCTCTGTAGACCAGGATGACCTTGAACTCAGAGATATGCCTCTGCCTCGGAAGTGCTGTGATTAAAGGCGTGCACCACTGCCGCCCAGCTAACGTTTATATTCTTATAGCATAGTTAATGGATGCTACTATATTGCTTTCCAAGGAGGTTGAACTGGTTCATATTGCTCCCAGTATAAACCCAAGAACTCTACAGCAGGTACTGCTGGTCTTAACAGTTTTCTCTCTAATAATTATACAATGACATCTAATTCCCTTAATTTTGAGTTCTATGATGCATAAAGTTTGAGCACCTTTTAATGAGGATTTGAATATTTATATTGCTTATTTTACCACTGAATAGAACTTCTAAGAAATATTAAGGAGTTGGACTGTCCTTCAGTGGTAGAATATGTGTTCAGCATGTATGATGTCCCTGGCCCAATCTTTATCACCATATACATTTTTTTTGTGAAAATATTACTCTTTACTTTCTATAGCACAAATTTAAATATATTTTCACCAAAGTTTAAGCCATATATGGTCAAAGTAACTATTTACATTTATAAAAATATTCTTTCTGAGCTGGGTAGTGGTGGCACATGTCTTTAATCCCAGCATTCAGAAAGCAGAGGCAGGAGGATCTCTGGGAGTTTGAGGCAAATCTGTTCTACAAAGCAAGTTACAGGTCAGGTTCCAAAAGCTACATAGAGAAGCCCTGTCTCAAAAAGCAAAATAAAATAAAAATTCCTTTTGTGGCCAGACATAGTGACACAGGGCTTAAATCCCAGCACTCAGGAGGCAGAGGCAGGAAGATCTCTGTGAATTTGAGGACTTCCTGGTCTACAAGTTGAGTTCCAGGAAAGCCAGGGCAGTTACACAGAGAAATTCCATCTCAAAATAAAAACAAAAAACATAACAACAAAAATTCCTTTTGTATCCAATTTAAACTCCATAGGCAATTATAGTTCCTCGGTTTTAAATCTTTGTGGAAAAGTTCATCATTATATCTAGAATAGACAGTACAACCTCGATGTTTTATATACATATACACACATTTGTTTTTTTTCTATACAGGGTTTCTCTGTGTACCCTTGGTTCACAATCACCTATAACTCTAGCCCCAAGGGATCTAGCATCTCTGTGGGCTCCTAGATTTACACCTCCCCCAGTAAAAATAAGATAAATCTTAAAAACATATTTAAAGACATTTACTGCCATTTTTGTTCTCATAGGTTGTCTTAGTTGGGGTTTCTATTGCTGTGAAGAGACACCATGACCACCACAACTCTTTTAAAGGAAAATATCCCATGGTGGGAGGCATGCTGGGGAGCAGGAAGTCATGGTGCTGGATATATCTTGATCAGAAGGTAACCGGAAGTGGACTATCTCACTGAGTGGTATCTTGAGCATAGGAAACCTCAAAGCCCACCGCCATAGTGACACACTTCCTCCAAAGCCACACCTCCTAATAGTGTCACTCCCTATGAACTTACGTGGGCCAATTATATTCAAACTACCACGTAACTTTTGGATCCAGTTACTATGATCTGATGATCTTTCTTCTTATTCACAATATATTGTATCTTAGGAACCGATGCGATGGCTTGGCGGGTAAAGTGCTTGCCATGTAAGTCTGAGGATCTGGGTTCAATCTCCATCTCCACATCCACATTAAACAACAACAAAACAACCAAGTTCAACTGTGATCTCAGCACTGGAGAAGTGGGGGATCCTGATCAATGAGCTTTGTGTTCAGTGGGTGACTCTGTCTCAACAATTAAGATGGGGGCAGGTGAAGTGGCTCAATGGGTAAAGGAACTTGTTGCCAAACTTGAGTTTGATCCTTATGACCCACATGGTAGAAGAAGAGAACCAACTTCCAAAACTGTCCTTTGATCTCTATGACCAACAGCAGGGTGTGTGTTCCTCCCTGCTAAAAATAAATGTAATGATTTAAAAAGATGTAAAGGGGAGAGTGATTGTGGAAGATACCTACTGCTGACCTCTGGCTTCCACAAATGTGAACACACACACACACACACACACACACACACACAATTGCATGTGCATGTGTGTAAGACTGTTTATATGCACTCTGGGCATGCAGTGTCTTCAGAAGCCAGGAAAGAATGTCAGATCCCCTGGTGGAAGCTGTGAGCCACCGGGCGTGGTGCTAGGAACTGAACCTCACATCCTCTACAAGAGTAGCAAGTGCTTTAACCACTGAGTCATCTCTCCAGACCATAGTATTTTTTGGTGTCTTATAAAATTGGGAGACAATCTAAGAAATCTTAATAAATCTTAAATGTATTACAAAAGGAGATGTACTTATAAATTATTTTTATAATGCACTGAGCTTATTATAATTCTCAGAAATTTTTTTAAAAAAGCACTCTTAGGGGTAGAACATGCCTTAAACTGCACAGTTTATAGTAGGCAGCTTAATAGGATTTGAAATATGTACATATTATGAATCTGTCACTGCAGTCAAGAAAGTGAACGTACTTATCTCCAGTCACTCTTCTTTTCTGTTTGTTCACCCTCCCTACTCAGGCAAGCCCTGTTCTTACCGGTTTATTTTTCTTTTTTTTTTTCTTTCTTTTCCTTTTTTGCTTTTGTTTTTGTTATTTTCTTTTTGTTTTTTCAAAACAGGCTTTCTCTGTGTAACAGTACTGGCTGTCCTGGAACTCACCTTGTAGACCAGTCCTCAAACTTACAGAGATCCACCTCCCAAGTGTTAGAATTAAAGGTCACTATCACCTGGCCTCCTGATTTGTTGTTTTTTTTTTTTAACATTTATTTATTTACTTATTATGTATACAATATTCTGTCTGCAGACCAGAAGAGGGCACCAGACCTCATTAAAGATGGTTGTGAGCCACCATGTAGTTGCCGGGAATCGAACTCAGGACCTTTGGAAGAACAGGCAATGCTCTTAACCGCTGAGCCATCTCGCCAGCCCCCCTGATTTGTTTCTTATCACTACTAATCAGTTCACTTTTTTCTGGAGTTTTATCTAAATAGACTCTTGCCATAAGGAACTTTGTGGGAGTCTTGCTGATTTTAGTTAGCATCATTGTTTTGAGGGTAATCTATGTGGCTGCATGTATAAACTGCTAATTTACCTTATTGCTTAGAAGTACTATATTGTATGACTGTATAATTCCCATTTAAAGATAATGGACATTTCAGTTTGGAGCTATTACA